TGATAAAACAAGATTCATCAAGATGAGCTGATGCGACTGGGGTGGAAATGATCTTGACACTGTTCAAATTGAATTAATGACCAAGATTCCAACAATGTGCAGCGATTTCCCATATTTTTGATGACGAATATATCTAGCACGTTCCTTCAATCTAAATTAAAATAACTCTTGCTTCTTGTCTTCCATGTCTTCAAAATGGGTGCATATTTTCGATCGCTTGAAACATGGCAAATTGGAAATAACAGTCCTGTTATTTCTAATTTGTATATTTTTGAAGCGAATGAAGTTTTTAATCAAGTGAAAAGTAAATAATAAAAAAAAATAGTTTAATATAATTTTATGAATAACACTAATTTAAGAAATCACATATTAAACATAATATACTATTAAAAGACACACATTGAATTCCTAATTACAAACAGCATACCAATTTTAATAATCAAATATTGTTAGGTATGAATACTCAAATTGAAACTTAAATATTATAATGTTTCAATTTTAAAATTCTCTAAAAACCAAAAATATTTTTTGAAGTAAGTTATTTTAAACTTCTTTTAAAAAAATTTAAATCTTCTACTACTCTATTAAAATTAATGTTTAAATTTGACCTCTTTTTATAATATGTACTTATTTCTTATTGCTAAACAATTATATTAGTCCTTTTTGGTTTCTTTCATTTTGTCTAGTTTCGTCTATTTTACCAACTTATGTAGCCCATTTGTTCTTTTTTATCATTCTATTATTTTTTAATTATAAAAAATATTGCCTGCCCATTTTTCACAAAACTTCAATAACTTAAAAAAATTAAGAAATGATCAATTTTAAATATTTTTTAATTGAAAAATATATCGCCTTGTACATCTCTTACATTAAATTTCAAAAAACAAATTTTAAAAAAATTTAAGAAAATCTTATCTTAAAACAACTGATTGATATGCTGCGACAATAGCTAAAAAATGATAATGTAAATAATTCTGAAATACTATATTTCATATGTACTACCAACTAAGGAGAAAGTTACTTTTTACATAATGCACTAGTAAAATTGCATTTAGATATTAAACAGTAAATACTTGTTAAGTGGAATGCCATGCTAGTTAAGCTATGCTAAATAAGCATAATCGAAATCGTTAGTTTTTAATACTTTGTTCGCATATTTATGGAACGAAAGAGAATATTTTTGAATTTGTTATTTAAAACCTTAATCAACAGTTAAAGAAGATTTAAGTGAAATATTTTTTAATGGTTTAGTTACTTTTAATTTGAAGGGGGAAAACATAATTTTATCTTCTGTTCTAAATTAACTATAAAAAAAAACCTGCATCTTTTATCAGTTTTTTTCATGAACCCTGATTTGTAGAATATCTTGATAGAAGCTGCAAAAAAAATAAATAAATAAATAAACAATATTCCTCCAGATTAAACAATATTCCTCGTTATTTGTGACTGCAACATTGCTCTTCTCATACGTTTGCTACTCAGTCTCTCAAATACAAATACCTAGTACTGTGCCTGTACACAGTACCAGCGGAAGTCATTTTTCTGCCACACGAGATACTGAAAACTCAATTTTGCAAAAGGAGCTGAATTTAAAAATAAATAAATTTTTTCTTTGAATTGTCTCGCTGGTGTAGAAAATTGCTTTTTACATTTTAAATTGCAATAGTTTAATTAACAGTATAGTTAGTTTAATTAATGAGAATATCCCCTCAAGTATTCTAGAATAAATATATATTATAGGTAATATTTTTAAAGAGGATATAATCTTTTACGGCATACAAATATAAAACATAAACATATTTTTTTGCAGTTTCAGATTCTTTAAAATCAACTGTTTCTGCAGTTTCATTTTCGATAGCAATTAGTGTCAAAGAAATTCTCTGTCATTATAGACTTCTGAATTATATATAGATGGTTGTAAACTTAGAGATCTTAGAGCAATTATTCTCAATATTTTTTGACCCATGCATTTCTGACATCATTGTTAGAAGATCTGATTGTTACAGCTCTCTGCTCCAGTCTAAAATCTAAAACTGTAAATAATATACATTTGTTCATTTAGTTAGTTTCAGATTATTTTACATTTTTAGGTATTTTTAATATTTAAAAAAGAAATGCTATTAAAGAGTAAATAAAAGTATAGTTGTATGCTTTCATAAACTGAAACTTGAGACCTAAAATCTTAAATAAAAATAAAATTTAATTATTTTAAAAGAAAAAGTCCATCAGCATATTTGCACTAAGAAAAAAACAAAAAAAAACAGTTAAATTAGTCTCAAATCAACAAGAGCGTAAAGTGCACTTCTTAATAAATTGAGGATGAGATTTATTTTGATTTTTAAACATACTTTTTTCAAATTTTATAAAATACCAGCCGGTAACTAGCAGGTTCGTCTTTTTAAATAAGTATATTTTCGAATATTTCAAGATTTAAAATTGCACAATCAAAAAATAAGACAATATGTTAGAATAGAACTCATATTACTCAAGTGTGAGTGGATTTAATTTTTGTCTCTGTTAATTTATTACATGATTTAAAGGAATCATTGTGAATTTGTTATTAAAATATTCGATTCAATGCATGCTAACATTAAAAAAATGTACCTACATGCTAACAATACACCCCAACATTCAAAAAATCACAATAACGCCCGAGTTAAACAATAAAACAGATAAGCAACTTTGCCAAAATCAAACTCAGCACTTATTTGCAATTACTAATTAGAAACTAATAAATTTCAATTATAAGTGTTTTTTTCTTGCTGAAACGAACATTAACTGCAGTAAATTTCTTTAACTTAAAAGAAAACACGGATCTAAAACAGAAAATTTAAAGCAAAAAATTTAGCTTGTTCAAGAACAAAAAGAAGCGTAACCAAGAAAATTATTATTTACAATAAAAAGTTAAAATCAGTTTTTACATTTATTCGAATTGGTAATTAAATTACATTATATATTCTAATTGTAATTAAAATGGACTTTAGCTGGCCAACCAGTTATACTTACTATTTTTTTAAGCCCATACGATAGATTTTTGCTATTAAATTTTTTTCTTTTCTTAATATAGAGACTTAGGAAATGAGACTTCACTGATCTAAGTCTTAAATGTGTGTACACAAATATATTATTTATGTATAGCGAGCAAAAAGGTAAACGGACAACCAACCCTAAATTACTTTTGATCTAATAAGCTCAAGGACTGAATCTTAATGATTCGAGTAGGTGACTTTAAATATGACAATTAATTAGTGTAAGTCCTTCTATTACGAAAAATCAAACACAAAAACGTACTTCCTCTGAATAAACATACCTTTTTTCTGTTGACAGATTCAGATTTTTGGCCCCCAAAATGAAGGGTTAGTCACAATATAGGAAATATAATGAACTTTAAAAATAGAACTTTTCTATTCCTTAGATACTCTTTGACCGATTTTACTCATCAATGGCTTACAAGGAAAAAAATAATGGTACTTCTTCCAATGCAAAAAACTCATTACCACAAAACGATATTAATATATTACTATAACATCAATAATTTGGACATTTTATAAGAATATTTCCATATTGGGACCGGTGTCAGAATAATCAAGTCTTAGCAACTTCCAATCAGTAGCCTGCAAGTAACTAAAATTAACACCACAGAAGGGGAGAAACAACTAAAAATATATAACTTATAGCCACCCTTAAGCAGTGGCGTAGTCTTAATGAATATTCGAGGGGGATATCAGTTATATCCTTCTAATATATATATTAGGGGTCTGTCTAGGTTTTACTGAGAGGTACCTATTTTGTGAAAATTTAGACATAATTTGTGAAAATTAAAAATGATATTAAAAAATCAACACAATAATATGGTAAAAATATGATTTATCGTTTCTTACGAGGAACAAAAATAAAATTCGAAGAAAAAGTATTTTGTGAAACTACTGTTTTTCCTAAAGTTGAATTTGTGAAAGTACCGCTAAGCGGTAGTAAATTTGGCTTGAGCGGACCCATATATATATATATATAAATATACATTTATAATGTAGTTGTAGCTCATATATGTCGCACTAGAACTGCACAATGGGCTATCGGCAACAGTCTGGAAAACAACCCTGAGCATGATCCAAAGACATGTCATCACAAGTTTGATCCTCTGCAGAGGGGATGGCACCCCCGCTTCGGTAGCCCAACGGTCTACGAGTGAAGTCGAACATGTAACGAAAAAACTGTTTAACGAGAACCAATACCGCACACCCTCGGTCCTTGAGCAAATTGATCCAAGTAGTCCCCCACCCGCACACTGACTGCAGCCAGTGATGCTTGACTTCGGTGATCTGCTGGGAACCATGTCATGCATATATTTTTAACATTTAAATTTTAAAAAAAAAATGAATAATGAAAACTTTTCACTATCTACATTATACTTATCGTACAATAGTTCATTAAACTAGTAATGTTGTGGGGATTTTGTCCCCCAAATCCTCCTCAAAACTACACTACTTCCCCTAAGCAAATTTCTATAATTTTTTTTTCTTTTCTGAAAAATATTTTAAGATAAAAAACTATTTGATGCATGGAAGATTCTAGTTGGCCACTTAATTTTAAGCTGTAACAATGTTATAGTTTCTGAAGTCAATATTACCATAATTACATATAACAATTGGAAGTGTGTTTTAAAGTTTAAAAAATATTATCCAATAGAAATCAAAACAAATAAATAATTTAACCTGTAAATTTAATTAGGAATTTTGTAGTAATACCCAGTTAATAATTTTTTTAAATTAGTTTCTCTTTGTGTAATATTATCTATATAATGTAAATATTATCATTGAAACTGAATTAAACTATATTTCAATCTTAACTTTTAAAAAAAGCAAAACGTCATCAAAAAATAATGTGGCTTTATACAGCATTTCTATTATGTTCACATTTCCAAGACAAAAGATTAAAACTTAAAATCAATACAATGATAGGTAAATATATGTTACAAATAGTTTTAAAGGAAAAAAACTTACCAATTAAATGACTCACAATAACTATTTACTCTTAGTTTTCAAGACTTACATATAGAACAACAAGAGAATTACAATTTAAGTGTTTATAAGCTATCAAAAAAATAGTCAAAACACGTTCATTCAGTCCAGACGATATCTAAATCCGGAAGAACTGTCAAAAGGAAACAGCACTTGATAGCTTATTTCTTCAACATTTTACATTTGTTTCTGTAAGTTGCTTACGGTGGCCGAGGGAAAGAAAAAATCATGAGCGATTCAATTTCCGTGAGAGCAACCATCGAGCTCGTCATCTGGTGAGAAGATCAGTTCCATGTCTTGACACCCACTCCTTCCCTTTCTTTTTTTCGGCTAAGTAAGAAAGAATTACCATATTTCCTGATTTTTTAAAAAATAGTTTTCATATTTAATTGTCAAAATTTTTTTAAATTTTCAATATGCTTCCTTTTAGAATTTTGTTTAATGTAGTTATGAGTTCTATACAGTTTCTAAACTTAAAAGTTTTTAATCTATTTGAAAACCAAGACAGAAACTATCGTACTTCCTTCTCCAATGACTCTCCACACGCTACTGGTGACAATATGCCAATAAATCAATAGCTCTGGGGGTACACGATCAGAGATTGTTAGTGCCCTGGTTAATTCGTAAATGATCATGCTCTGGTAAAAATTACGATCTACTGATGGATGGATGGCGTGTAAATGTGTACACCCGGTTAAGCGGGATGTGAAACATGTATGGACGTTGACTGAAAGTAAATAATAGCAAGCTTCCAAAAACCGGAAGAAATTTAGAAAACTTCCAGTGTGTGCCTCCGCTTTTGTTATGCTTACGAGGCGATGTGTGAACAGGCTTAATATTCTAGGCAGTCTTATTATTGGGATTCGTTTTTAAATTTACGCGTAATTTTACCATTCATAAGAGTTTTCTGTAATTTATAAATTCTGTCAGATTGTGAGCCTAAAACAAAATTAGGAAATTAGTATCACAACATAAATAAACTGTAAAGGTTTGCCATGTTTTGAGCGTTATCCCTTTTTGGCTATATTAGTATAAAATATTGCAGTTTTTTTTCAATTCATTTGTTGTTTGTTTCGTTGAAATTTAAATTGAAGGAACGCATTACATTGTAAACAATGCAAGTTAATAATATTCAATGGAGCGCTTTTTCAGGCTTAGGCGTAAAAATCAATAGAAAGTGTAACCCGGTAGTCTTGCAACGAATTTTGACCATTGTAGCCATCTGTGCTCCGCTTTACTCGGTCAACAACCCATTCCGGATTGCAACACTTGAAAACGCCATATGGAAAAAAGATCGGCTTCATGTCTTGATCTTTCCCCGTAATGTAATTTTTAAATATGAAAATGTAAATTAAAAATGCAATTTTTAAATATGAAACAGTAAATTAAAAATGCAATTTTTAAATTTGGACTATGTCCGTCGTTCGAGCCCTGAACCCACGGGACTAGTAATTTGATACTTATCATCAGATAAACTTACCGGTCATCACATAACTTAACGGTTGGCTGTCCGACTTATATCAAGCTTTTTAAGTAATTTTCTGCGATTTTTCAAAGGGACCATATCGGGCCACAGCCAGGGACCACAATTTCTGAGGGGCTTCAAAAATTAGTAAAAAAGTCCTCAATACTACTGTTTCTTTTAAGCACTGAAAAAAAATATTTCAAATTTTCTTTATATCTTGATACAACTAAACTCACGTAAACATTGCACTAATCAAATTTGAAAGTTCAGCTGAATTTTAATTGATACAGTTTTTACGCAAACAGCTTAAACGAATGCAATGAGAATTTTAAAATAATTTAACTGCGAAATGCTAAATCGTAAAAATTATTAATTACACTATCTCAATTTTTTAATCTTATTAAATATGTTATTAAATACACTATCTCAATTTTATGACGGTAGTTTTTATAGAGCAGTGGTTTCCAACTGGCGGCCCGGGAGCCGCATCCGGCCCGCGAAGCCTTTTTTTGTGGCCCGGGAACAAAAAAAAATTAGTTGTCATTTTTTTACGGACAATTTTCGTAAAAAATCTATATGGGTTTAAAATACTTTTCTCGTTAATAAAAACCTAATTTCTTCGTTTCTGTGAAATTTAGGATACCAACGGTGCAAAAAAAAATATTTCTCAGGTTTTGCATCCAAGAAAATATTTATTCAAATACAAAAATAATCGTGTATGTTGCTCTTTTCCATTTCATTCTTTTGTATTCAGTGAATATAATTTAGCATGTGTGTATCAGAAATTTTCTTGAAAAAATTTTCCGATTTAACTTTTTGAAACCACTTATTTTGGACGCAAATATTTACACACACATTTGTAAATTTTAAATTTAAAATGTAATTATCTATTCTCTGGTGGTTGCAGCAGACAAACCTCAATTTTGTNCTTTGGTGTTTTCTCCAACTGCAATTAAATATTTTTAAAAATCTACTTCTTATTTTAATTTGTACTTCAATACTTTTATTTTGTACAGCTTGGTAAAAATCTGACAGTAATATTTAATGTTTCTTCAAACATAAGAGAGTCCTATATAAAATGTCGATAAAGTTGCTGCCAGCCAATTTGATTCGCGTTTTTAATTGTGGCCCCCGGCTTTATGTAAGTTGGAAACCCTTGTTCCAGAACATAATGCGCAATTTTTCGAATGTATTTAAACATTCTTGACATTTATTTACACGGTATTAAACAATTTACTCTTAAATAAAAATCATACCTTGCTATAAAATACTATATTCTGGGAGCTTCAATGCTCAATCCGACAATTTCATATTTCAGGTAGTTTTATTACGTACACTGTGTACATTCCAAGAATGGGATTCAATGGCAGAATGATCATTTAAACGGTTGAAACCATTTAAACGGAAAAGTGACTCAAGGCACGATTTCAAACGAAATCACTCACCTATATTCATAAAACACTCTCCTAACTGTCATAAAATCCGCGACGTGATGGAGACAACGCGTAAGTAATTTGAAACAAAGAAGAAAAGATGATGAAGAAAAAAATCAATATTATGAAGAACAAATACAAACAATGAGAACAAATACAAACAAGAAACAATAGACTGAGTCATAACAGCTTGTTATTATCACAAAATCAACTCTGTTAAAGGATTCCACACATTTTATGGTTTTCCCTTCAATTATTGCCTTTATTATGAATTGTTTAAAGATACTTATATACATCAGAATACACATTCGCAAAGTCTCTTATAAATGATTATTGTCAACAAGAGCTAAAAACTTTATTTTAACAAATATGTAAAGCTGCAGATGGAGAGCTATACAATCTTTCCTGTTGAAATTTTAAACTGTTTGATATACACGCTTCTACAATATTAAAATTATGATTTTCCTTATAGTTTTGGAATGATGGAACCTAATTATAAATCTGATTGTGCAAAAAGAAAGTAAAAAGCTTTAAATGATTAAGCCAACAAGAAAAAAAGGAAAAATTCTCTATCAAAATATTTCTCATAATATATAATATAATATATAATAAAATCATAATACAATCGAACCTCGCTAACTCGAACCACGATTTCAAGAATTTTTCGATACCTCGAAGAAGAAAAAATTCCCTTCAAATTTCCTATACAATCAATGTTAAAAAAAAAACTTGATTTCACGAATTTCTAATCCCTCGAAGACTTGAATTTTTTTTCTCCATAAATAGAGTAGATTTCTTTTTTCTAAAATTAAAAAAAATATTCCCCAAAAAATAAAAACATTTAAGAATGGCTGACAAGGCATGGAATGATCCTCAACGATCTTCCTCTACGATATAATGAATGGCTTCAAGAAGTCTGGATTCATTAAAGCGCAAATAATGTCAGAAAAACAGACAAATATGGTCTCTGGAGGCATGTACACGTCACCCCCCTTAACTCCCTTTAATATAAACCTATAATTTTCAAACTTGGTCAGAAATTAAAGTTTAATGTGCCGAAGAATCGTGCCAAAGGAAATTTTTATACCTATATTAGGGGACCAATAAAGGACCAAAATGCGTTTTGTTTACTTTCCGGAAAAGGGTACTTAAAGCTAAATATTCGCAGGAGCTTCGTGTGAAGCATGGCTCGGTTGGTAGAGTGCTGCGGATAAGTTAACCCTGGAGAACCTGAATTCGAATCCCAGCCGCGATTTGAGATTTTATAATTTGTTTCATTGTTTATTTTATTTCATATTATGTTTATAATGTGTTTTAGCGTGAATAATGTTTTCTTATTATAAAAATTATTATTTTTCTTTTGAAAAACAGCAAATAATAGCATAAAAGCGGATAAATGAAGGATACTTTATTTATTTTTTATTTATTTATTTATTATTATTTTAACAACAAGTCTTTCCATATTTTACCGAAAATAAAGTGTTTTTTATATAAAAATAAGTATATCTTGGTTTCAAAGCACGAATAATCTCAGAAAAACAGACAAATATGGTCTCTGGAGGCATGCACACGTCACCCCCCTTAACTCCCTTTAAAATAAACCTATGATTTTCAATCTCGGACAGAAATTAAGGTTTAATGTACCGAAGAATCGTGCCAAAGGAAATTTTTATACGTTTATTAGGGGACCAATAAAGGACCAAAATACGTTTTGTTTATTTACCGGAAAAGGGAACTTAAAGCTAAATATTCGCGAAAACTTTGTGTGAAGCGTGGTGTCGTTGGTAGAGTGCTGCGGTTAAGTTAACCCTGGAGAACCTGGGTTCGAAACCTTGCGGCGATTTGAGATGTTCAATTTTTTTAATTTTTTATTTTATTTCATATTATTTTTTTAACGTGTTTTAGCGTCAATAATGTTTTCTTATTATAAAAATTATTATTATTTTTCTTTTGAAAAACAGCAAATAATAGCATAAAAGCGGAAAAATTACGGATAATTTTTTTATTTANACCCCCCTTAACTCCCTTTAAAATAAACCTATAATTTTCAAACTCGGTCAGAAATTAAGGTTTTATGTACCGAAGAATCGTGCCAAAGGAAATTTTTATACGTTTATTAGGAGAGCAACAAAGGACCAAAATATGTTTTGTTTACTTTCCGGAAAAGGGTACTTAAAGCTAAATATTCGCAAGAGCTTTGTGTGAAGCAATACGTGGTTGGTAGAGTGCTGCGGACAAGTTAACCCTG